CAGATTTACCCACCCTGTGAATAACTCCTAAGCTTGCTGTTGCTGTGAATTTTGCCCAGTTTGTAGCCCTTCCAAGCCATTCAAGGTTATTTCTGTGTGTTCAAGAAGAAAAATCACTTTCAATCAATTATTCACTTCCTTGCTAAAAAAAACAACAACAAACAAATGAACAAACAAACCACAAGGTTACTGTTTGAAATTCAGTTGATAGCATACCGAAGAAAGGTGTCACTTGTTGTCCCACAATGCATATAGGAATTGGCTATTACAGTGGCTGTGTGACAAACTGAATTTCTAGAAGCATCCTGTACAAAAGAAATAAAGAAAATAAGACCTGTGAAATTCAAGTTCTGGCTGTGACTGGTGAACAAAATTATCTGGGATTAACTTTCTTGTCTCTTCTCTCTTAAATACAAACAAACAAGTACATGTAACTAAATAAAACAAAGAAAATAGAAACAGACAGGTGCAGTGTACATGTACAGTGTGCCTTTAATAACTCTGATTGGTGAGTTATATCAGCATCAAATTACAAGTACATAGACTGTGCATAGACTGAAATTGAGAGGGGAAATAATTGTTTTCCTTCACCAACCAAATGCACATGTGCATGGACATCATCCTGTGAAAAACTTATGGATGCATAAAGCAAGTACCTTTGTGTTTTTGAGAATGAGTAGATCTGCATGATTATTTCTGATAAGGAATTCCAGATGAAGGGCAATGGTAGTCTCTCCACCCAGGATTGCCACCAACTTGTCAACTTTGTCGACCAGTTTTTTATCACTTTCACTCTGTGATGCATTGAAAAAAACAACAACAACAACAATTATTAGATTACAAAGAATACACTTCTTTTTTCCAGAGGGAGGGCAGTACTTTTTTTTATTACTGTAGTTAGTTTGCACTGTTAGTTTCTGTATCACCAGCTCAATTGGAACACTAATGGGACAGTGTACACAACATGCTTGTAATTGGACAGTGTAATAGAACAGTTAAAGGGACACTTAACACATCATGCCTGTAAAAGTGGACAGAACATGTCATGTGCATGCACTATTGTCTCACATTTTGCCTGGTAAATTGTTTACTTATAAAAATGTATAACATGTAATCTAGTTTCCTTCTCAAATTTTGTCATGGTTTTGATTAATTGGCAACCAGACTTTGTGTCATCTAATTCTGTAATCATACTCACAATTGACAAATTGGACTCATGCTTCACGGTCGTCCAATTTTGTCAATCACTTGTATGATTACAGGCTGAATTGGACTCGAATCAGTCCTATTACCAATATTGATCACTCACCAAAACAGCATCTGGTTTTGGCTTCTTAGCAGGAACTTCCTTCTCTGCTTCATCAGTGTCCATAGCTGCATCACTATAAATCAAATGAAACATCAGTTTTCATCACAATGGAGTTCAGTGGCTGATATAGGATCAGGATCATAGAATGAGGAGATACAGTGAAGGATGTTATGCAGACAAAAAATTTTAAAGGTGTGACATCCAGAACTTTTGATGAAATCTTTATCTCAGTGACAGAATTTTGTCTTCATAATGAGTGACACAAATTCACATTACAGTTGTGTCCATCTGTGGAATGATTACAGAGCTGGAGATTGTTTGTGATGTTTTTTATACAAAGGTCCGCCGCTGTGACTTATCACTGATCTGATTGTTGATTCTCCCTTCTAGCTGCTACACATTTCCTTGTATATTACTTGGGAGAATTTGGTATTACATCAAGATAACAGCTTCTAACTGATAAGTTTAAGTACTCTAGATCTCATTACCTGTTTTCCAGATAATGTATGGATATTATATTGCAGGGAGAAGTTACATGTTAATCACTTATGGGGGCTAAAAAGATTGAGATTTCTTGTGGGTACATGTAGATCACTTACCCTGACTTCTCTGTAATGCCATTCTTATCAGCTTTTCCCTCAGCGGATGCATCAGTGCCTGTTGCTCCAGTACTGGACACAAAAGGTACTGTGGCTTTTAGCACAGATGTTACGGATGACAGGAACTGTTGAGTGGCTCCTTCATACAGATCAAAAGCAATCTGGTAGGCCATCAAGGTTTGATCTTTCTGTTAATTTGAAGAAAAAGCCTGAGTTACAGTGTACATGTACAGGTTGTAACTTACAGATTGGCAAATAAGATATGAATGGCAGGCACATGTACACCTAAAGCCTCACAATGAGCCAAAATTTTGCTACAACTGACAGTATACTACATATACCTTAAGCAAACACAGACCTTTGGTTGGGGAGTATTCAATTGTAGCCACAGGGCATTTCTGTCTCCATCTCATCTCATCTCTTTCTGAGTTGATAATGTAAACTGACCCCCATAAAAGAGTCTCTGAAGCTGATTTTCAAGGGTCAGCTTTTCATCAAATTATCTTGTAATACTCTCCCACCACAATTTTTTTGGAAGCTTACCCATTTTATGCATTTTTACAAAACAATACAGTTTAAAATACACTGTTTGAATCATCTTACCTCATTGTCTTTTATAAGTTTTTCCAAGATGTCAGCTACTCCTTGAGCATCATCAAGAAATATGAAACACTGAAGATTTAAAATATTATACACCATGTGCATTTAAACCCAAAGTTACCATAATTATTTTGTCAACACAAAAATAAACTGAAACTCATTCACCAAGATGAATTTAAAATCATTATGTAAATGTCAAATACATACTTGTGCAATGGTTTTTAAAAAATATACAAACCTGACAGACACTGATGAAGTCTGGTGTTGCTAGATTCATGTACAGTTGTACCAAGACTCTCAGAACCTGCAAAGGAAAGATGCAGTGTATTTAACCCTTTCCCTTCCAGAAGTGATTAGTATGTAACTTCTCCCCATAATATCCTTACATTAACCTGTACACAGGTAATAAGAATACTCAAACTAATCAGGTGGAAGTTGTTATCTTGATCCAACACCAAATTCTCGTAACTAGTGTACAAGGAGATATGTTGCAGCTAGAGGGGAGAATTTATTTAGCAATCAGATCTTGGGACTCAAAAGATCAATCAAAGCTGAATATGCTGTATTTGTTATGCCTTTGCAAGAAAAAAGAGACATACATTGAAAATCAGGAAATAGCATATCATTACTTAAACATCTGGCCCTGGTTGTTTGAAGGGCAGATAGTGCTATCTTCCAGATAACTTGCTATCCAGTGATAACTGTTACCAAAATGCACAGATCCAACACCAAATTCAACATCCAACAGATAGAGATTTATCCAGTGGATAGCATTATCCACCCTGGGAACAACCAGAGCCTGACGTATTGAGAGTCAATTGTGACAATTTAGCTTTTTCAAATTTGACTCTATGTTTACAATTGCAAAATTATTAAAGTTGCCTACCTTATTTCTAAACTGTCTACTTTGTATCAATGACATACAGACTGTTAGGCTGTAGGACAACATTCCAGGCACATCATCCTGAACAAAGGATTACATTCAGTTAATATCACAACATTTAACTTGTTTTGGTTTTGAGATTCAAACTTCACAAGTTTTGACAAGAAACAACTCACTGATTTCAAAATTGCTTGTTCAAATATGTCCAGTCTTCTTGTTTCCAAGGCAATTCCAACAGCCTAATATAACAATAAAATATAACTTTCAGTTATATCTTAGGTCCAAATGACAAATCTTTTATCCACTGGATTGCATGTACAGCTTTGGCATTCAATAAGCACAGCCTCTTTTCTTGTTGTTTGTATAAATAAAATACAACACACAAAACATTTTCCTGCATTATGTATTAAACCATAAAATGAGATAAATCATGCGTTTTTTTTTTTGTACTGTGCTGTAATTTAGTTGAAAAGTTTATTACAGATAGTTGCTAATTCCTCTCCTGGATGCATCCATCGTATGAAACATCTATATCTTCAAGCATATGTACAAGTAGCACTCTACAGTATATACAATGCAGGCATGACCACTAGGAGACAGCTCTGAACAAAATTTTTACATTAAACTGAGACTTATTATCCTGAAATTTCACTCAACTTACTTCTGAAGCAAACATTTGACTAAATATCACTCTGACTTCAACAAAATTTTCCCCCAAGAAGCCTCAAATTGTAATTTGAACTTTCGCATGAAAGTTCCCAAGAACAAAAAATGAAATTTGCCCATTTCGCTGGTGTTACTTTTGCACAATACTGTACTGTACATATCATATCATTAAAATATTAACCTGTTTGTATTTTCCATCATCAAAACATCTTTTGAACATCCTGTCCACAATGGCTTCAAGTCTTGTATCTATAGTAACATCTTCATCTGGGTTTTCTGCTTTATAAACTCTTTTCTCAGTGTACGAATCAATGCATTTTGCTGCAAAGTAAAACACTAATTTATCCATACTGTATATTTAATCCTTTCATCCTAATAGTGGATGGCTTCTAATTTCTCCTCACAGTATTACACTTGAATCAAATGTAAAGGTTATGAGAAAAGAGGAAATGATCACCGACTCAAAAAGCTCCTGATTGTCAACAGAATTCTCCTTAGGCAATAATGATGTAAATGAAGATGGCAAATTTTGAACCTATTGTTTTAAATGAAAGTGGATATCATTCAAAGAATGGCACAGGCATACTTTGAGAAAAAAAAACTCCCACTGTGCCAAATAGGAGTAGAGCCCAAGACCTATCAATTGGTTCATTAGATGCCTTTCCACTAAGCTATAGGACATTTGTCGCGGGCAAGGCCTTTTTGACAAACTTCCTGCATACTGCTTCTGCTAGGATAGGAAGCTAATACATGTAGGTATCTCCTTATCAGTATCAAAGAAAATGTAAAAAGAACAGTGTGGAGAATTTGTACACTAATGTTAGGTTGGTGACAACTTACGTTCATTTTGGAATATTCAATCATTAACATACATGTATGGTGAAGCACTTTTGAAAATGAATATTGAATTTGCATCAATTTTCATACCAGTTCTTCATTATTCTCTACACCAAAACTAAACTATGGTAATGAAAATTACATTTTTACTAAAAGAGGAACCAATTTCTTTTGTGTTAAAAATCATTAACCATACCAATGATAGTTTCCACATATTCTGAATGCCCATTCACATCAAACAGGTCTCCTGCTC